CAGTGCCAGCACCAACATCCACACTCACAGTGTTATCCTTGAGGTCGAGTATCTGAGGGATGGAAGGCTCCGTTGACGGTACCCTCAAATACGGACAGGAGACTTACGTTGATCAAACTGTCAAGATGGTTTTTCAATTGTCGATTCCCTTCGAATTTGGGGAGGAACTCATCCAAGAGCTCCTGCTCGGAGGCTTCCTTGAAGTTCCTGTTGGGCCCATCAGGGTAGTGATCAGCATCGAATAAGACCTCCTCCGGACAACTAGGCATTGGGAATATAACAGAGAGTTAGAAGCTGCAAGATGATGTCCGATGCAATCAAGCAAAACGCCATTCCCCCTCCATCAACGCAATAGTAGATCTCCTTGAGAAGTGAACGATCTAAATCATATCGCGGGAACTCTCGGGTTGATGCAACCCTCTACGAAACAATATTACCTCCACCACTACTCCAACAAAGGACATTTATCATTATGCGCCCGCAGTGCTGTGGTGTTAAAGAGCGAGTCACTTCTCATTAACTGGTAGGAAGCTCGATATACTGCTAGAGGTCGTATTCAGTATCAAACATGTTCATGATGATCTTTCTGCGGTATATAGCCGAATCTCCCGGGTCGAAGGTGAGAAGGTATTCGCCCGCCATAGTAGCACGGCCCTGCTTCGATGGATGAGAACAAACAGCTATAGCGTGTCCTGCAGTAGGATCGAAGAATACGGTGTAGCTACTTGTTGTACCAATCCTAGTATCACGTTCGGCGCCGTTCAGTAAAAGCACAAAACGACCGTCTGGAAGACTGCCCGCCGTCATGGAATTAACCGAATTCAGGAAAGCCTTGTTCCATACTCTGTGCTCTACGAGTTCCGTGCCCGTCCAGTGGTACTCAATGAGACTCGCGGTGTCAGTGTTCACGATGAAGCAAGATAGGCACCCTTCTTTAGTCATTCGGCAAGCAAGCAAGTGGAAGATATCAAGTGGGAATCCCACTGGGAGAGGGATGCTGAAATCCTGGCATGTATTGAAAAAATCGTATAGCCGCATCCTACTTGCATCCATAGAAAGGATACAAACCACGGACTTGCCGCCGTGTACAACATAAAATCCGAACCATGTCTCAATATACTCAGACAGGTTAATGTGAGTCTGGAAGGAACTGGTGGTAGCTCCCCTATACCGTGTCACCATCTCATGTAGATTACCATCATCTAAAGCAATGAGCGCTCGGCCGGGCATGCTCGAATCAGCGCAGATTGCATGTACAGGACCAAAGTTGACCACCTTCTGGAGCTCCCCACTGGTAGAGATCAACAGCAACCCACCGCGCTGTAAGAGTCCAACATATACAATTCGGCCATCAGAAGCTATACACCATCCTATTTTGTGTGGGTCGTAGAACACCTCCTTTGGACCGAAGCGAGGGAATCTCAGAGACACGAGGTAGGACCATATGACGGAAATAAGCTCATCGGGGAGACACTGGCGAACCTTGTCCAGTTTGAGTAGCTTGAGGAAGGCAGGCTTCATTTACGATGATGCTACTGCCCATTCAGACTGTACCACTCCATCACGACCAGTTACTCTAGCACAGTCACCAGGCTAGTGAGCCCTCCGGAGCCGACCCAAACTCGATAACTCGAGACCGACTCAGGACGATAACACAGTTTTGGAACATGAATATTTCATGGACGGAAGGTAATAGAGCGAGGATCGTATAGATCACAATCAGTCGGTACATGGTCTAAGACATTGCTCAACAAGAGATGGTAATTGTATAGTCTACTGTGGCTTGAGTCCCGAGTATAGAACCAAGGGCAGCGACAGGCGACTAGATGCATCAAGTCATCTATGGTGCTCAGTGTCTCCATTGTTCGTAGGTCAATGGTGATTTGGTATTTATCAGCAACCCAGCCGCACAAGGCGAGCAGTGAGAAGCCCAGGTCCTTCAAGCATGTGCTCGGGTCCCACGTGTCGATTACGGGATGGCTGACAAACGACCGAAGCCGCCTTTTGCTCTTCGCTGCTCGCTTGAGTTCGTCAACAAACCTCTTATGGCGCCGTCTCCGGTCAATGCCAATGAGTAGCCCAGAGAGAAAATACCCCACGATAGCAGCCTCTACCACATACCGTGGGGGTACAAAAAGGGACAACACTGCTAGTGATAGCAGACCGATGAGCACCAGCAAGCTTGCCCATGGGCACTTCCACGCGAAGAGATTCTTCATTTTCTCGAATACTATACATGCTGTAATGACGGCCGAAAACACCTCCTCAACGTTTTGCTTCACCTTATTAAATACGGCCTCCCACGGCGCCAAGACTGTCGAGCCAGACACAGCCTTCGCCGGCGTCGGGCTAAGGCATGGCGAGATACTATCAACGTCGAAAGACGATGGGGGTCTAGTCATAAACTGTACCGATGTTACCTTCTCCATCAGTGGTGATGCTTTACCTGCCTTCACCTTCGTGCCCCTGAAGACCCGTCGGCGCACATAACACCAAACATCGCTCTCTTTCATCCAGGCTGAACCCTCCCCGAAGCTCATAGCGTACTGGTAGCCGTTCTCGTCAGTATTGGAGTCTACAACCACCCGCCACGACCAGCAGCTGCCGTCCGACATCACCGTTCGAGGCCCTTTACACGGGACTAGCTCCTCCTGACCGGCACTGTCCAGCACAGGCGTGCTCCACTGTGGGGGATCCCATAGCAGGAGATTCTCCGGAGAAAAATCAGCAAGTACGAATAACCTCCGTTCGCTCTCATACACATCCATGCTGTCCAATGCCTCTCCCTCCTCCACTTTACAGTTACATCGAAATCGCCCAAGTCCACCCCGACCCCACTCTGCCAGAGCCTCGACCAGCGGATGGCGTGTCACCAGCGAGAGGGCGCCGAGAGCGAATACATAGGAAAGGGAATACTCGTAGAGATAGAGAACCCAAAGGGACAGTCCAGAGAACCACAATAGCGATACCATAGGTCGCTCGAAGTATCTTATAGCGACAACCTTCCTCCAAAACTCCTGCGCGATGGAGAAGTCCCGCCCTATACGGCGGAACGAAGGTGTCAATGCACCATCCGTGATTTGAGTAAGAGTGAGACCCTGTGGCCACCCACACTCCTCTCCCTGGACCGGCAGGAAATACCGCGGCCAGACCCCCATAGAACTTTTATCCATGGTGAAAAGAATCTTCACGCTGCGTATTTCGACCGTCTCAGAATCCGTCCCGGCCGCGTCCAGTGGCGTCTCATAAGTTACTATCTGTGATTCGAGCCGCTCTATCTCATAGAAGGGGCAATGGACCTCGAGGCCTTTGACTGGTGTGCCCCGATCGACAGACCAAACCGACAACTCCACATAGGCGTTGGGGTTGTTCTGTATGATAGGAACATCCCGAACCTCCACAGGAAGGTCAATCACTGGAGCACTACGCACACTGTAGCCACTATGGCTGACTTCCAAGCAGGTCCCCTCCTCCCTACGACCAGTACTGAAAGCAGTGCAACCGTGAGTCGCCCCAGACCTCGGTCTCTAGCCACAAGCTCATCGTTGCAAGCCTCTGCGAGACGGTCTGCCCACCTCTTCATCTCAGCCTCTTTCGAAAAAGCTAAAGTAATAGGATACTTATAAGCAGCGAATGGCACATAGACCGTAAGAATGTGTTCGTATCCGGTCATTGCTCGATTCCTCGTTCTTCGACCAGGTGCTGCGTCCACCCACCCCCCGGCTAAGTGAATGACCTTCTCCTCCATGAACAGCACATTCCTAGCCTTTCCATCTTCCCACTGCATCCCTAGTCGGACAAACTTCTCCCTCCAACAGTCTTGGGCTGATATATCCACGATACGGGTAACCTCGGCGATCCCCTGTGCCACGTAGTCGCCAATGCCCGAAACTGATGGTCGCTCCCTCAGCCGAGTACCGCCCTCGTTGAGAAGCTGCGCTAACGACTGGCGGACCGGCGGTTTATTGCGGAACTTCAACAGCCTCCCTGAGAGCACATCCTCGATGACCGGCTCAGTCATAGCAAAAGAACACTGCCATTGTCTCTCCCGTCAAACACAATCCCAATCTGTGAGTACACAACGAACTCTGCCCGAATTCACATATCATGCGGGATGAACCGTAAAGAGAGGTTGCCGTCAACAGCCTCTTGACCCTCTTCAGTCGGAGCTCTACTGTGCACATACCTAGCGCGGACCATGAAACTGCTACCAACAAGGAGTAGTACTTCCCCGACACCGTATGACCCTCTCGACACGGCATCTCCCAATTTCCCTCCCCGAAGGGCTTGTTCTCTCTACACGGAATCGATCGATTCGGTAGAGATGGTAAATACTACTTGAAATTTCCAAGGAAGCGGACACCGCTTGGAAGCGTCCAAGTCCCCGCCATCAGAGACCCCTCCTTCCACTTCCCTTCGAGTGATGACCCATCCTCATAGACGTAAGTACCACGGCCATGCTTTCGTCCCTTGGCCCAATCACCTAAGGCGAAACAAACACTGACAAATAACAGCAGCAACCACGAGGCGCTATCAAACCAGGGAGACTCATCGTCTCATCCTATTCGCAGAATCTCTAAGGCGCTCGAGTTCAATCCCCAGGTGCGGCTATATACACCTGATACTGCGCTCAATAAGGCTCTCACCAGAGTAGACATCTCCATTGTTGTATTTATATGTTCCTTGTCCATGCTTTTCGCCTTCTTTGAACTGTCCATGATAGGTCCCTCCTTGAGCAGAGGTACCACCTGTGCAGTACGATGTCAGGAAGGAGTGGTAAGGGTTGGAATTCCTCCTCTTCTTACCCTCATCACCTTCACCATCCTCCTCGTCGTTGGCTACCTTTCTACCAGTGTACACTAGTCGGCCCATACCATGCTTCTCGTTCTCTTGGAACTGTCCCGTATAAACATCCCCATTCCTATACCAATACCTAGCACCACAACATAGAGGGAGATAACACATGGTAGACCCACGTCCCCTTCCCATGCCTGACACCCTCATCAAAGTCCCCATCATAAACTTCCCCATTGGCGTATACTGCACGCCCACACCCCGTGAATTCCCTCGAAGTATGGACAACTAAAATGACTAGTAAAATCCCATCAGTGCGATTCGTAATTACCTGTACCGTCTTCTAGTGTAAGAGAGTAAGCTGGAGCCTCCTCGTCAGCCATTTCAATAGGAAAAAGCCCTTCACGGCAATACCCAATTCCCAAACGCCAACACTGACCGACCCGAGAGACGCCCACGGTCACTAACATGTCCACTAGGCTGCCTTGATGCGCTCCCCGACCACCAGCCGCCTCGATGCCAGAGGGTCCACGACGAAGGTTCGAACCTCGGCGAGGGGACTTTTCTCCTTTTACGGATCGACACTCCTACCAGATTAGTCCTGTAGCAGAATGAGAGCACACAAGTGGCTATTAAGTAGCTCGGAAATAGAAGTGCAAGATATTGGACCCAGGCGAACTTCCACGTCTCGAAGCCTTCCATTGAGTAGTATCTAGTAGAAGGGTAGTTCGATCGACGAATCGTCGACGACGATGTGGACGAAATGTGGTATACACTATCTGCTCAGGGACGATAAAGGTGAGCAGGGCAGTGAAATCCGTTGTGTTCAGTCCCGATGAAGGACTCGACCTAAACAGTAACACATGAACTGCCGTCTTCGGCCGTCCCTGACCAACGCCTCACCACACATCTGGAAATACTTTCCGCCCAACGAGAGTAACCCCACTGTCGCCCTGCAGTGCCCCCAAGGCGACAAAGAAGTCTTCACTCGAGCCACCTCCTCCACTAGACAAGCGCTCTGTCGCCTGAACGATCCATCACAAAGACAGCACATGCTCCTACTTGTCCGAATAAGCTCTCAACCTGAGAGCCCCCTTCCAAAGCCTCCTTCTGTACTAGGTCTAAGCTCAACCATGCATTCAGACGGCTGCTGCTCATGATACCACTTGGGCGAATGAACTCAGCACCAACTGCTCAACCAACGAGGGCAGAAGTGCTAATACTGATACATTGCCAAGTACCAACCTGCAGCATACGAGAGAATTGAATGCTTCTTAGAGAGCTCCATTTTGAATTCCCCTATGAACTCCAGCGAGTTTATTTCTGAGGCAATCAGACTGTCCAGCGAACAATGCCATACTACTACCAGTTCCATCACGTACTGCCACTTCTAGCTGGACTTGGCCCTCGCCAATGCTGTTGGACTGTATCGACACGCCAGAGAGACTACCCACGGAGAAGCCAACGCCGGCACCAGCCCGAGGCTGGCCGTTCGTCAGGAGCTGATGGAGATGGTGGAGGCACCGATACTGGGCACGTCAGTACGTAGAAGTTATTCGTGAACGTGACGACTGGACGCTCATGATAGATGGCCGACCTAGCCCACAAGGCATGCCCTTGTAGTGCCAGTATTAGAGGGACCTGCAGAGCCTATCGGGGAGCCTTCACATACTAGAGGCTGCTATAGTAACGTGTAGACGGATACATACTGCTCTTATAATACGTAGCATACGTCTCCCCCACAAGACTTACGACTAGGCCAATGACTGCCACTATCAACCACAGACAGTAGGCGCACGAGCATCGACCTAACGGACAATACTCAAGCTGGTTTCGATACGAACTACGCCCACTAGTCGCGACGAAGTGGACCGCGTATGGCTCGCTATGAACCTTGGCAGGGGCGAAAGGATGCATCATCGGAGCATTTAGATGGGTGATTCCAGTTCTAATCTTGAGCTCTTGCTCATTCTTGCATTTCCTCAACGACAGGTGAGCACCTTCCATCAGCCGGAGCACTGTTCTAGTCGCCATGCCAGGATCGCCTCTGGACGATATACTTCCGGAGTTGGCCAACTTAGGATTGGACACACCTCGGAGGGAAGCCTGCTATGGGACGCTGGTGAGGATACTCGGGAACATCCGAGATGATCCTACTGAGACCAAATACCACACTATAAAGAAATCGGCAAAGGTGAGGAGAATCTTGAGGTTGCCTCTGCAGGATACCAAATAGGTCAGAGGTTGCTCCACATGCCGAATATCGATCGCTGTCGTCCTCTAGTGCAAGGCTATTCCTCAGGTTTTACAGAATTCACTGTGTGATGCACACACCGGACAACTATATGCCCCCGTAATAGGCATACTCAGGGAAGCTGGCTTCAAAGAGACCGTTGATTCTTATGTTTGGGATCCTTCTAGTGAGGAGCAACGTAATAGGACTCTAGAATATCAACACTCCATCATCATCTCGCAGATGAGACCCTTATTGATGCAGCTGAACGTCTAGAGGATCTCCACGATGCCCTCAAGGCTGCCCAGAGTACCCAACCCAGCGGTAACGTAGTCATTACTGACTCCTTACTCCTATACACACATGCTTCAGCTACCGGTTCTGGCACGTTGGGTAAGAAGCCTACAGGTGGTCACTCACGGCAGTTCGCCCCGCGGACTGACGTTGAGAAAAAAAGACTCGTTCAGGAGCAGCAAATGAAGCAAGTCAAGGAAGCTTCACGGGATAAGTAGTCCCTATCAGTCGATGCTATTTCCTATGGCACTCCACAATATCAGGTTTTATAGTTCAGCCTCTCTCCTCCCGCCTGGACACAGTGCTGCCACACGATCGACTGCTAGCTCTGAGTCGCCCGAACCCAGAGAAGGTTGCTTGCGGCCAACGAGCTCCGGCAAGAGTAAACGGACGGCATTCGACTTCGAAAGTCGGCAGGCTAGAGTGGATCGTGAGCAGCGAGCACAAGATCAGCTCACCAAAGTTAGAGAGGAACAGAAGCGAAGGTGCTTGGGCTCATAGACTTTAGACTGTCGAGAAATTATAGGCTATGCCAATTCTTTCTTCCGTGTTGGAGGTGCTAACTTCGTTGCCTAGGTATCAAGAGACAGCTGCAGATCCTGGTGCCTTCACACGTCAGCCTACCAGAAACCTCAAGTATAGCCCCTGGTGGCCGAGAGGAGGGTAGTAGTTGGACGAGTTGGCTGCCTTTCTTTGGGGGCTCCTCTTCGTCATCATCATCATCCCGT